AGGTTACAATTTGAAGTAAATGTCACTCCTGGGATTTTCCAAAGCATAATGGAAAACACACTACGGGGTATACCAGAGGTTTGCCCCTATTTTGATGATGTCTTAATTGCAGGAGATTCTACACACACCTTAGCTGAGAGATTAAGGGCTGTCCTGCTGAGGTTCAGGAAAACGGGCCTCAAACTTAAGAAGGACAAATGTAAAATTGGGGTGCCTACAGATTTTCTGGGATTCAAAATCGATGCTACCGGGATTCACCCTGCTGAATCCAAATTGAAAGCTATTATGCATGCTCCTAGACCAAAGTCCAAGGCCGAACTACAGGCCTTTCTGGGCCTTCTGAACTTCTACAATTCCTTCCTTCCAAACAAGGCTAGTATAGCTGAGCCTCTTCATAGGCTCTTGGACAAACAGGCAGTGTGGCAGTGGTCACAAAAACACAAAGCAAGTTTCAATGAGGTCAAGGCCTTACTCACTTCTAACAGTGTGCTTGCACATTTCAATGAATCCCTTCCTGTGTGCATCGCTTGTGATGCTTCTCTTTATGGGGTGGGAGCCGTACTAAGCCACCTCAGATCAGATGGAACTCAGGTTCCTGTTGCATATTACTCCAGAACCTTGTCTTCTGCAGAGCGAAATTATGCTCAAATTGACAGGGAGGCTTTAGCTGTTGTTGCTGGAATCAAAAAATTCCATGATTTCCTATATGGCAGGCATTTCACAGTCTTCACTGACCATAAGCCTTTGTTGGGGCTGTTTACCACACATAAACAAACTCCCCAGATCATCTCCCCCAGAATGCTGAGATGGTCTATCTTTCTGTCTGCCTATGATTTTTCCTTACTTCACAAACCTGGGAAAGAAATGGGCCATGCTGACGGCCTCAGTAGATTACCCCTGCCGGTAATAGAAGCTGACCCTGCACCATCAATCAATATCCTCTCCATTCAGGCCTTGCCTGAGTCCCCTTTGGATGCCAGGGATGTGGCCGCTGAACCAGCCACAGATCTCACACTTTCGCGTGTCCTTTCTTGGGTTTAATCTGGATGGCCAGAGAGCTGTCCAGGCACTGAGTTTCAGAGTTTCTGGTCCAAAAGGAACGAGTTATCCACCTTCCAGGGGTGTCTGCTTTGGGGGAGCAGAGTTGTCATTCCTGCCTCAATGAGGACTAGGGTCTTAGGTTCCCTCCACGAGGATCATCCTGGCATTGTACGTATGAAGGCGCTTGCGCGCAGCCATTTGTGGTGGCCTGGGTTAGACAAAGACATTGAAGCTAAGGTGCATGCATGCCACCTTTGTCAACGCTCGCGCCCTGAAATGCCCCAAGCTCCTGTACATAGATGGGAGGAAACACAGTCTCCATGGTCTAGGGTGCACATTGACTACGCTGGGCCCTTTCAGGGTCAATTCTTCTTGGTCCTAGTTGATAGCCATTCAAAATGGCTTGCAGTTGTACCTGTCTCTTCCACCACCACTGCAAAGACTATTCAAGTACTGAGGGGGATTTTTGCTGCACATGGGCTTCCAGATGTCCTCGTGTCGGACAACGGCCCTCAATTCACTTCTTCTGAATTCCAAGCTTTCTTACAGGCCAACATGATTCGTCATGCCACCTCTGCGCCTTTCCACCCGTCCACCAACGGCATGGCTGAACGCATGGTTCGTATCACCAAGGACGCCTTGAAGAAAATTACCTACGGAGACTGGCATCACAGGTTGGCTGACTTCCTCCTTTCTTATCGCACTACACCTTCCACTTCTACCGGGAGGAGCCCAGCTGAACTTTGTTGGGGGCACAAACTGACTACCAAGCTTGACCGGTTGCACCCGGACAGACTACCTTCCACAATCACACACCCCAGGGCACCTAGACAACTGCTTGTGGGTGCCCCGGTTTGGACTTGTAACTACGGGCCTGGTCATTCATGGGTCCCTGCCACTGTATCCAGGGTCACAGGTCTTTTGTCCTACGAGGTGTCCCTGGACAATGGTCGTGTCCTGCGCCGACACATCGACCAGCTCCGCACTAGACGGGACCTTCCCACTGAGACTCCTGGGTCTTTTCCAGGGGGGGAGGGGGACCCCTTTGGGCAAAGGGAAGAGTGCGGGCTGCCGCCTATCAGTAACAAGGGAGCTACAGACAGCTCATTCCGAGATTCCGCGAGTGCTCCAAACAGGAATCCATGGAGCCCAACTAGAACTCAGGCACCAGTGCCTACTCCAGCCAGGGAGTCACCCCGGGGGCATAATCACTACTCACCCGCATCACTCAGTACTCCAGTCAGGGAGGATATCCGGGAGCGTCCAAACAACCCACACCCTGCAAGAGAGCTGGCACACATTCCGTCTAGTTGGCCCGACACTACCCCTGTCCCTAGAAGGGGGCAAGCACACAGGGAGGTGGCCGAGGAACCAAATCCCGACTACAACACCTCTGACATACTCAGGGGACAACTGAGTTTTGGGACAGCACTGAAACCCCAACAAGCCCGGGTACAGAACGGGAACAAGGGGAAAGACAACCTCTTGACAGGTCTAGGACAGACCTGGGAGGGTCGCCCAACAGTGACAGTCACTTAAGAGGGCCAGAGAGCCTGCAGCCAGGCAGGACAACCACGTCAAACAGAGAACGAAGCCCTGGCCTGACGAGCCCAGTGGGCAAGCAAGCAGGCCAGGCATTGGAGCACAGTCCTTGGGAATCACCAGGGTATAGCAAGGGGGACAAGCATGCATCACCCCTCAGTCAAGGGGTACTTGGCAGGTACCCAGAAGTCAGGAGGTCACAGAGAGCCAGAAGATCTCCTCAGTATTTAGAAGATTTTGTAACTCTACTGGCAAAACAGAGTTAACAGAGAGTATTCCTGTACACATAGGAAAATAGAACACTGGGAACAATAGAAGCAGAGGGGATAACTAGTACAAAGTAGTATGGGCACCACGCTCGTATTGGGTTGTATATTATTATTGTATGATCATAGTCTTAGCTGGGGGGGAAGGGGTATTATGTCCTGAGCCTGTGGAAGCAGGCTCAGGGCATTGCAACGGTCCTGGGCAGGTGCAAGCTGCCCAGGACCAGACTGGTTGTCGCCAGCGCTCGTGTGCATGCGCGGGTGCTGGCGCGCCAAATGTTGCAGTTTGGCCCGGGAATCGCCTATAAAAGAGGCAGGGAGATTTGGCCGTTGTCGGCGTCTTGTAACCAGTATGCTGAACAGAAATAAAGAGTTCCTGAGAACTACAACTGCTTCTCGTGTCATTGCCATTTCGCGAAGGACTTAACACCGTCAGTCAAGGAATTTCAGCTGGCGGGATCAGGAGAAGAGCCTTCTCTGCTGTGGCTCCTGCCCTCTGGAACATCGGATCCTCAAAGTGAAATTGGGTCCCACCCTCCTGACTTTTTTGTAAGAGCCTTAAGATCTGACTCTACCAGATGGCAGTGGGGGAGCTTCACACTGGAAACTGTTGGCTAATTAAAAGCTATTTCCCCCCTCTCCTTCTCTGTGTATCCGGCTCCCTCTTTTGCCATCTTGTGTTAATGATTTTAATTTATCTACTTTGTCGTTTTATATCTGAAGATTTTAATGTTTTTATGCTGTGAGCTTCCCAGAATCGTTTGACATGAGATGGGTGGCAAAGAAATTTCAAAATAAATAAACAAACAAATAAATGTCACACTACTATACAAGCAGCTATTCAATATAATACTGAGAACACATTGTGGTTTTAAGAAATATACTTTTAATAAGGATATTATTATTATTATGCGTAGCTACAGTAGCCAGGAAACCATGATGCTATTGCCGAGTAGTAATCTAGCTTGCCAAGGTACCACACCTGTTATAGGACACGCTTGTGTGCGTTTCAAGGTGCACCACAGGAAGGCGAGCTGGCTTCGCACCGGAGAGAAAGACGAGCAGTTCTTCCTGTAGCATCATCCAAGGCCCCTCCTCCCTTCCCGGAGCTGGTTTGCAAATGGGAGCGACAACTGGGAAGGTTCAGAGCAGTCAGGAATCTGACTGTCTGCTCAGAGTACAACCTGCCTCCTCACCAATGTGGTACCTACCTATCTACTTTCATAGAACATGCTTTTGAACTGTTAGGTGGACAGAAGCTCAGGCGAGTGACAGGAGTTCACACTCCTTGCAGTACCTGGGCTTGAACTGCCAGAGCTGAGGCCATCTTCAATGTCATTAAGCCACTGACCTGCCATGCCTCCTTTTATATAGGTGAAAAAATTATGTGTAGAGTACTAGATGATTATGACTGTCATATGCTTCATAATGTGGGGAACTAGGAAGATCACATATCTAACTTTGCAACAATTTTCAAAAGCATAAATATCTAATATAGGTATTTTCTGGATGAAGACTATAGTGATTTAACTAAGCTAACTGTTTTAATTCAGTTGATAGCCACCATTTCTGTATCATTATCACTTCCTTAGCTTCTAACATACCTTGTCAAAGGAGCAGTTTAAAGGGTTGATAGAACAATGAAAAAAGTGAGAAATGTTATTAATAAATGACCACTACAGGACACTGTCAGGATAAACAGAAAGATAAAAACTGAGCTGGATTGTTTTTGTTGCATTTTTTTTTAAAAAAATAGGTAGAATATTTCCATAAAATTCCATTTAAAGAGCAATTGCTCACATAGAGAATATATCAATTAAAATTTAAGTTTCAAACAAAAATTAATTTGGACAATTAAAGCTGGTCAAAGAAAGATATACCAAATTTAATACCGAGGTTAAAAGAGAAAGAAAAATAGTGATCCCATTGTTTATTTATGCCACTTACAGTACTGTTTGTATGAGTACTTGGACTTTACAATGACCAGAGTTTTTAACCTGTCAGTGTCCCTCCAGGAAAGAGCAGTAGCCAGTATATATTATAAGCCCTTCATCAGGTGAGTGTCCATGATTTCAGGAAAGCTATTACAGTATTAGTGATGTCCAAGCCCCATGAGGAATGGCTCAAAGCCCCAGCAGTGGTGATACTCACGTTGGCAGTGGCCCCAGGCGTGGCGAGCCCAGCCCCAGCAGCAATCCACTCTGCTCCCAAAATGGCACAATCCAGTCGTGGAAAGGATCTGCCTAGGCCACCTGCACCAGCACCAAAAATAAGCTTTAAAGAGTAAGTCCAAGACTCCATTCGTGTTAAGTTATAGTTGGTTTATTGGTGCTGAACTGAGTAAACCTCAACTGGCTGGATTCACACAATGTACTAACTTACGGTATTAGAAACAAATGGCTGGGTTTACCCAATATACCAGGGGTTCTCAACCTTGGCAACTTTAAGACTTGTGGACTTCAACTCCCAGAATTCCTCAGCCAGCTTCTGGCTGAGGAATTCTGGGAGTTGAAGTCCACAAGTCTTAAAGTTGCCAAGGTTGAGAACCCCTGCAATATACCAACCAGAACTATATGCACTCAGTTCAGTATAATGTTTTCACCTTGACAGAAAAGAAATGAGTGAACTATGGATCTTTTGTTCAATTACACTACAACAATATTTTTTGCCCAGTCTTTTTATTGTAAACTTTCAAGAAAGAAACCAATCATTGCATTTCTGGGTCCTTTTTCTATTTTTTGTGAGTTTTTTTTTTCTGGCAGAAGAGATATCTCGCTGGTTAACTCCTGTATATACCCTAGCAATTTTTCTCAACCTTGGCAACTTTTAAGAGGCATGGACTTTAACTCCCAGAATTTTCCTGTCAGCCATGCTGTCTGGGGAATTCTGGGAGTTGGTCCATGCCTCTTAAAGTTGCCACGATTGAGGAATATTGCCCTTCTGGATAACTGCAACATCATGTAACAGGACACATATAGTATGTGATGGTTATTGCAGATGCTAATTCAATGGACAGAACTTTCAAACAATTTCATTGCATCCCAAATGCTGTATTTTTAATTGGAATTGGTTTAGACATTCAGCTGTCATTTATTAAATAATATTTTTAAGCTTCCAGATTTTATCATTATTTGGGAAGCACGTTTTTACTCTTATTATCTTGGCAAGCCATCTTGAAACCATCTGTCATAAAGTTTTCATATGTTTTTGAACTACTGTTTCATCCCATCTTTAAAGGGTCTGGGAAACTATTTTTCCATCTTAGGCTAATAGTTTTTTTTAGTTTAGTTTCTCTTTCATTCCATCTCTTATTAGCATAACATATCCAATACCATCTGGGTTTATCATGGGAATCAAATGTTTCTGGTGCTTTTTTGTAAAGATAATTTAACCACATAACTCAAAATTTGATAAGGGGTCTTAAAAAACAAGTTGCATGGAAATTCTTCTAGGTAATCAGCCTTTACTTCTAGCCATTCACCATAAAAACAACTTAGCTGGAAGTTATTGATTTCTAGGCAATTCCCCAGATCTAAAACTAGGATAAGGTCAACGTTCTATGTACCATCCTGTCCTCTAATTATATATTGGACATACAACATGCCAGAGGTAAGGTCAGACATTCTGAATATGGTGCTGAGCTAGAAAACGTTTCTTCCAACATGCTAAAACTTACAGCTGAAATACATATTCAAGATGAATGCACCATATCTCATTAAAGGGATAAAGTTAGGGCAGCTACAAATATTTTATGATGATTCATTGTCCTTTTATTAGCTATAGCAATATCCATTTGATTACCGATGGTGTTCAAAATTTGTACACCTCTCCTGTTAAAGCATAACACACTATAAAATAATAATAAAGTGTGCTTTATTTGAGCAAATCAACTGACCCTATGGAATAAATGATTACTCAACCAATTGTAAAAAGGATAGGTAAAGGATAAGCTTTAAACTAAAATCCCACCCAGCATATTTTCTTGTCGTCTACATGACTTATTTCCTAATTTGCATCAAAGTTTTTTTAAATCAAATTTTGACACATTATAACTGTAGCAATTACATGTACATTCCTGCTTTTCAGCCCTCACTTTCAGATTTCATTTATCTGCATTCATGTTTAAACTTGAGCTGCAAACTTGTCAGCATGCTATTTCATCAACGTTGTGCTCAAATCATTAACTTCTGATTTATTCAGCTTATTAACGGAGAGTTTTTACTATTTGATAGACCTATTTGATAGCAACAATAGGAATTACAGAGGACAAATAAATTGTTTTCTTATAATATTCCTATAATCTCTGTGTGTGTGTGTGTGTGTGTGTGTGTGTTATACACACAATAAAGATCTGATGGCAGCAATTTAGCACCTTCCAAATGCCTTGCATTCTCATAGTCTTCAACAGAAATGTGCCTTTTCCTGAACCATCAAAGTATCTTTAGGAAACTGAGAGATCAGGGACAGTAGAAGAGATCCATAATTGTCCATTTAACTTACATAGGCAAACAGATTTCTGCATGAGCATCCTATAGTTGTCAAAAACCAAGAGCCATAGGCATAAATTTGATGCTCATCCAAAAATGGCATTTAAGCTGTCAGAGTTTTGAAGGATTCTGATACTGAAGTTTCAAGCAGTAAGTGTGTTAAAAATTGGGAAGCCATTAAACAAATAAATTCTTTCTGTATCAGCATCCCAGAATCTTCCCATGTAATATATGTTAATAAAAGTAAAGGTATCCCCTGTCCAGTCATATCGGACTCTAGGGGGCCGTGCTCTGTTTCTTAGACAAGGGAGTGAGGGTTGTCCAAAGACACTTTTGTGTTCATCTGGCCAGCATGTCTATATGCTGAGTTGAACAGAACACTGTTACTTTCCCACCGAAGTGGTACCTATTTATCTACTTGCATTTGCTTGCTTTAGAACTGCTAGGTGGGCAGGAGCTAGACAGGAATGGGAGTTCATCCCGTTGTGCAGTGCTCAGTTCTCAAACCCAGAATGTCAGCTTTCCAGTGACAAGGTCAGTGTCTTTAACTGATGAACCATCATACCCCTTTTAATAGCCAGATTTAAATCCTGGGCATCTTCCTTTTGTCTTTTTAAGGAAACCTCCCTTCTCCTCTCCACTCTGGTCAAAAGAATGGGGAGCTATGAAGAAGGAACTATGCCACTCCTTTCATTTCAATTATTTTGTCAACTAGAGCAGATAAAACCTCTCCCAACGTTAGCCCTCTGAATCCTTCCTTGCTCCTGGCCAAAGATCTCTGAAAGAACCAATTTCCAACTCCTTTTTTTTTAGGTGGAAATGGAAATAATTCTAATAATATAATAATTCTGTCTAATGAAGAGAAGGACAAGGGGGGACATGATAGCAGTGTTCCAATATCTCAGGGGCTGCCACAAAGAAGAGGGAGTCAAGCTATTCTCCAAAGCACCTGAAGGCAGGACAAGAAGCAAGGGATGGAAACTAATCAAGGAGAGAAGCAACCTAGAACTAAGGAGAAACTTCCTGACAGTTAGAACAATTAACCAGTGGAACAACCTGCCTCCAGAAGCGGTGAATGCTCCAACACTGGAAGTTTTTAAGAAGAGATTGGACAGCCATTTGTCTGAAATGGTATAGGGTTTCCTGCCTGAGCAGGGGGTTGGACTAGATGACCTCCAAGGTCTCTTCCAATATTTTATATATATGTGTATAAACTATGGATTGGATTCTCTCCCTTCCCTTCTTTCAACTCTTTCAAACTGTCTTTCCCTATTGGCCTGAGATCTCCCAAGAGAGGGGGATGTCCATTACTTCTTCGGGAAGGAATTTTCTCCCCACACAGAGACCTTTGCACCCTCTTGTCAGGCACTTGCCTATTCCTGAATTCATCCCTCCATTTCAAGGAGATTAATCGGCGTAATTATATCTTCCCCCTTCCCAAATCAGTTCTCTTCAATCTCAAAATCAAAGCTGCTAGCATGCACCAAAGCTGAAAGATATAACCAATTATGTCTGAATAGGTGAGGGTAATTTATTTATTATTATTTTGATAACTTAAATATCTAATATTCCTTTCTCCTCCTATTTTCCCCGAAACAGCCTTGCATTGAGAGTGTGTGACTGGCCCAATGTCAAACAGCCAGCACTCATCGCTAAGGTGGGACTAAAACTCACAATCTCCTGGTTTCTACCCTGATACCTTAACTATTGCACCAAACCACACCAAATCAAAGGAGTGACAAAGGAAGCAATCCTTCACTATTTCCCAGGATATCTCTCTTCTAGGTATTCTTTCCAGTGAATAAAATATTACAGATCGCTTCTTGTGCATCAAGTATCTCAAAGAACTTCCACTTTCAATTCTTCATCCCTACTTGCAGAGATGGAGTAAGCACAACACAACAGTGATGCATAAGGCTCAGGTTCCAAGCTCAAGTGGTGGCAAACCGATGTATGTTCAGTGCAGCTTGAAGCTGCTAATAAAAGGCTGCAGGATTGATATGTGTATGTACAGGAAAGAGTGCAGCTTCTTAATGGTCATATGACAGAGAGAAATTTGGTAAAGAGCCAGGAGACAAGGGAGGGACTTCAATAATGCAGGGGCCATCTTAGTGATGTCAGCTGGCAGAACATTTGTTAATGGTCTTGGCTTGATACAACTGATCCTTGAGGAGATGCTGATCTATCTGCCATCCTGGAGAAAATAGAAGCTCTCGGGGAAAGGAAACAATCAGGAAACATTAAGCAGCAGTCATGGATAATATCTGTGTATGAACTAAAATTGCAACACTAGTGTAGAGACATAAATTGGCATATTAAATGAGAACCCAGTCATAGGCAAAATATCAATTCAATGATCTTGCTGTGGTTAAGATAGCAATGGAGGAATTCTGTTTCATCATCTAAATATACAGTAGATGACAGGCAGAAGATAGTTGGAAGAACAGTATATCCAACAGATAAAACAAAAAGATGCCATGAACTGTTGGCTTTTATCAGAAATTAAATGAATTCATAACGTGTGGTTCTGGAAAATCTGTTGAATGAGCCAATAATCTCTTTACAGAGCAGAGGGAAGACCATAACAGGAAATGAAATGGGCCATTGTGGAGGAAAATTAAAATACCACTCGAATGGCATCCAGATCCTTGACATAAGGTCAGTCAATAATAAAAGCCAATGAAACTGTGTCTCAAGGCCCCTGATAGAGACAAACAGTGCAGACAGCTTCTGGTAAAAGATGTGGCAAGTTGCCAAGGGTAGCA